TTAAAACTACACAAGAAACTAAAGCTTGCAAACACAGCATACTGGCATTTTTAGAAAGAAATCAATATCACAGAGGCGATCAATCTCAGCGGTGACATTTGGGGAGAAGGGTCAGGAGTTGTTATTCTCCCCTCTGACCGAACGCAGCAGATCTGGAACAACACACCAGCCAAAACTGTTACCAGCTGACCTCAGACCAGTCCCACTAGCGTCCTGCTTACCACAGCACTGCTCTAAACTGCTCTGGGGTCAGTGAAAGGGTCTGTCTAGAGACAGATCTGTCTGGAGACTGAATGACACAGAAGAGACAGCTTGTGACCCCACTGACCCGTTCTCTAAACACTGTGTGTAGTGAAGATGTAATTGTATAATTTTTGTTTGTTTTACCAGTATAGAAAGAATAAGCCACAATTAAAAGTGTTTAGGAGTCACAATTAAAGTTAATCGCCAGCCCAATATGAAGCGAAGTGTTGTTTTATTAGCGTGAAGGGCTTTATTCTGTGAAAACAACCACACTGGATGTACTTTATCCTGCTTATTACATGGCTACTTGTCAACGAAACATAAAAGTTAGACACAAAATTTTGTTCTGAGCTGTTAGCGAGGGACCACTGTAAACTAAATAAAATAATTTTTGTGGTTCAAAGTATAATTTTTTCAGTGAAGAGGGATTATGGCAAGGCATAATCTTCTCTGATATGTTAATAAAAGAGAGAAACTCTAGGGTGGAGACCGGATTTACATCAGTCCATCCTCCACTTCTCTCTCCCTTTCTCTTTTCTCTTCAACTTCTCACCAATATCCTGTTCCTCAGAGGCTAGCGCGCTAATCTGCTAATGAAATGATTTAGGAAATAAAATTAAGACTGCTCAGCATAAGTCCTTGAAAATAGGAACTAGGCACTAAAAGCATACGGCAAGGATGAGTTCAAATGAAAAAGAAACATCTAGTTCTTCTCTCTTGGCTGAACATGGCGGTGTCAGAGATATGACGGTTCAGAAACCCTGCGGTCTAATAATGGAAACCAGACACAGCGAAATATTAAATCATAAGAAGCTCATCTGAACCTCATTTGGGATGACAGTAAACTGTTTTGCTAGAAGAAGAGAAATGGCGTAAGCTCCTAATTCCGCCTCTTCTGTTTTTGAGAGATAGAGCTCAATCAACGTTCCCTCATCCCATCATTCAAATTAACATCCTCTCCGTTTGCCATCCAAAATGAAGCAAAAAAAGGAGGGGTTAGTGAGAGGAGAGGGTTCGTACAGGTGGTTTGTCAGGCCCACTCACCAGTGTTAACACACTCCCTAATTTTTTACATTTTTTTATTGCAATTTTAAGACGTTGAGTGATCATATGAAGGTTTCTCGGTTCAGATCAGACAGAGAGATGTAAAAAATGTGTTGAGGTGGTTTGTCAAGCCTGTGTGAGGCACACTCAGAAACATTATTGTAAAGCAGGGGTCTCAACTCAAATTGGCAGGGGGCCATTTTAGTTACTGACAATTCATAGGAGAGCCTTTTTAACATTCAGGTACTAGAAAAAAGTGGACAACAGTGGAAAAAGTGGAAAATCTTAGGACAACAGACATGAGGTTTATATTTCAGGCATACCTGTCACCTGTGATAAAGCAGGTTTATCGTGTCACACATCAGCTGTTTAAATATATTTGTGGTTGTTGTGTGTATGGCCGAGCATTAGACTTACACTCAGTCATTCATCCATATATATATATATATATATATATATATATATATATATATATATATGCAGTCCAAACTCTAGCTTATTGTTTCTTGTTGTACATATTAAAGGGGGAGTTTAAATTAAATTGCTATGAAAATAATACAAATAATAGGTTGATTTACTATGTACAAATAACCAGTTGTATTTTACATAGATTGTACATTTGTACATAGTTGTTTACGCAAATCTTAATAAGCATATAAGGGAAATCTATTAAATTAAACCATTAAATGATGATTTGAATCCAATATTAGCAAAATTATCATTTTTGTTACACCACCAGCATAACGTGTAAGCCATGAATAGGCCCACACGGAATCTGCGCGTGGATTGATTCTGTTTATTTACTTGCGTAAATGTGGGTAATTCATATTTATTCAGTTTTGAAATTAATTTCAGTAATATTATCGACTAATAAGAATGTTTATATGATTTATATATGATTTGTTTACTACAGTTTACTTTAATATGGTTTGTAAAGTAATATTTTCCGTCTTTTACTAGATCTATTATATGAGAGGCTTTGTTTACTTAATAAAGTGAATCTCATTGTATTTGCATTGTAAACATTAAATACAAGTTTAAAATGTATTAGCTTTTATTTTTATATATTAAGGTTTAAGTTCTGATACTCCCAAAATCATTCCGCATAAATCTGCAGATTTTTACCAAAATTCTGCGCAGAAATAGCAAAAAATGTCCCCAGATTCCGTCTGGCCCTAGCTATGAAGAAGTGTTTGTACAACAAAATACAAGTGGAATAAAACTGATGATAATCAATATATATAAATATATATATATACAGTTGAAGTCAGCTCAGTTAGCCCCCCTATTTATTTTTTCCCCAATTTCTCTTTAACGGAAGACATTTTTTAAGACACTTGTGTATAGCTTAGAGTGACATTTAAGGCTTTAAAGACTTTCTCCAGAAGAAGAAATATTATCAGACACACTGTGAAAATTTCCTTGCTCTTTTCAACATCGTTAGGAAACTATTTAAAAAAGAAAAGAAAATCAAAGAGGGGCTGATAATTCTGACTTCAACCGTAATATGTCATAGTAATTTGGATACTTAAGTACATTCAATGAAAATCACTTTTGTACTTGTACTTGTGTGCTTGTAAACTGTAGCAATACTTACCTACACTGTGAAAAATATCTGTCAATGAACAGTTTCTGTATTTTGTGATTCACAAGTGCTTTCCATTTATTTACAGTAGTGAACTGCATTATGGGAAGATGAAAACTGAAACTTAGACGCTACAGTTTAACAGTGACTTTTATTGACATTTATAGTATGCAATAATATAATGAATAAGAAATAATATGTAGAGAAATAAGTCTGTAATGTAACAGAAAATGTACTGGCAGATTATTATAAGGCTTTTGTAGCATGATATGCAACACCAACCCAGACAATACATCACTTTAAAAATGAAAAATGCTGATAAAAATTACCTTTTCAAACTTTTCAATGTTAAAAGTTGTTGGAAAAAAGATTAAGGTCCCATAATGCTATTTAAAAGCATAAATGAACAGGGAAAAAAAACATGAATCACAAAATATTGAAAACTGCAGATTGCTACAGCGTACACTAAGATAAAAATATTCATTTATTGATCGATTTATTTATTTTTTAAGGTAAGTGGTTGCAAAACATTTATACAACTCAGGCTAGTTATTAATTTGTACCCCTGTATACACTTCTGGAGAGTGCCAAATGCATCCCAGGAGGTACGTTTTTTGCAGTTTGTTTGTGATGTTTGTAAACAAATTTCGGGAGGAGCATGCGCAGAAGTTTCAGTATCGAATACGTCATTGACAATTATCCCATCATCAAATCAGTTTCTGAGAAACGCCTATATATACCAAAGCTGTCTTACCTGCAGCATCTCACGACTTTAGCATCCCTCCACCACCCCGTCACCTCACCTCTTGCATTACATTTCCGGGGGGAGCGTTCTGGGGCCGGGCTAGATACTTCGCTCGAGTCCCAACTCCTCTTTGTTTTCTTATAAGGGGAATAACTCGAGTTGGGGTGTCTCCTCGAGCTCAGAGCCCTCCCCCCGGACAGCACGCCAAATATGCTTTATACTTAAACGAATGCAAGTGTGAACTCGTGAAACCGATGTGTAAGCTTTTTCAGATCCCAAATACGTCTTGCGAGTGCCATTTACGCCTGCTCTTTTCGGGTAAATCCACCAGAGGCCGCTGTCGACTGACTGACTAATTAAGGCCACCTCCCACCGCCTTCCCTAAACCCAAGTGAAAAGATTTTACCACGTTTTCAGATTTTACCACATTCTCACCCTGTTATTTACTTATTTATTTTTTTGCCTTTTGTTTTAACTGTTTTCTGGAACTGTTCTTCGTCTGACTTAAACCCTGTCGACATAGTCTGCATCTCATATCCCCCGACATAAGTGGCGAGCAACTGGACAAACAGGTAACAGCGAAAAAGCCGTCCACACAGAGGTAAGCGTTCAGCTGGTAAGCACGAAAAGGAACCGAAGCAGTCGAAAGACAAAATGCAGCCATACGTACCTCTGGCTACATAATTCATGGTCTCCAGAAATGTATATAGAGGTACGTTTTCAGCTGTGTTGAATTTATATAAGCTGAATTTAAACAATGAAGTTCAGTTGCACATTACTACATTAAGTTTGCTTGTTTCAATTCAGCCCAAATAAATAGTTTACAGCCATTTACCTTAATTTTTGTAAATCCAATGAATGTTTTTTTACACTGTAAAAACTTGTGCACTTTGATTAATGACAAACAAGAAAATGCCATTGTTCATTCATTTTCTTGTCGGCTTAGTCCCTTTATTAATCTGGGGTCGCCACAGCGGAATGAACCAACAACTTATCCAGCTAGTTTTTACGCAGCAGATGCCCTTCCAGCCACAACCCATCTCTGGGAAACATTCACACACACATTCACACACACTCATACACTACGGACAATTTAGCCTGTACCCAATTCACCTGCAGCATGTCTTTGGACTGTGGGGGAAACCGGAGCACCCGGAGGAAACCCACGCGAAGACAGGGAGAACATGCAAACTATACACAGAAATGCCAACTGAGCCGAGGTTCGAACCAGCGACCCTTCTTGCTGTGAGGCGACAGCACTACCTACTGCGCCACTGCCTCGCCCAAAATGCGATTGTGACTAATGATATTTCTAGATGATGCCACTAATGAGCAAATGTGGTTATCTGAATGATGGTGAAATTGAATCACGGAGAGTCTTACCCAGCACAATGAGGTTGACTTGGTTCCAGTGGAACTTGCCGCCGGTCTTGACTTTACAGTGGTATTTTCCAGAGTCAGTCAGCTGCAGATCGCTGATCAGGAGGGATGCGTCTCCGTTCAGATAGTCGCCAGCAAATGAAAGACGACTGGCGTGGTCGTCGTTAGTGTAGACCTCATTGTTGAAGAACGTGATGATCTGCAAAAGTCAAAGAGATGAGCTGATTTTGTATAAATGTTGGTTAACCCTCACGCTGCACTTAAAAAATCTTGTTTGTTATTAGTTCGATAATACTTCTTTACAACACATTAGTTGAGTTTTTTAGGGATTGTTTTATGTTCAGTCTACTTAAATATTTAATAAGTTCACTTAATTCTCTCATGTCGCCTGAACACAAATCGAATGTGTGGAACCCAGCGTTTTTCACAGTGTATCTTTAAAGCAACATTAGCTTTTATTAATCATAACTGGTGTTCATTTCAAATGCCTATTTATTCATTTTTGTTTTCGGCTTAGTCACTTTATTAATCTGAGGTTGCCACAGTGGAATGAACCGCCAACTTATCCAGTATATGTTTTACGCAGTGGATGCCCTTCCAGCTGCAACCTATCACTGGGAAACACTTATACACACTTATTCACACACATACACTACAAAAAATTAAGCTTTCCCTTTAATTATTATTATTATTATTATTATTATTATTATTATTATTATTATTATTATTATTATTATTATTATTATTATTATTCATTCATTCATTTTCTTGTCGGCTTAGTCCCTTTATTAATCCGGGGTCGCCACAGCGAATGAACCGCCAACTTATCCAGCAAGTTTTTACACAGCTGATGCCCTTCCAGCTGCAACCCATCTCTGGGAAACATCCACACACACATTCACACACACACTCTTACGCTACGGACAATTTAGCCTACCCAATTCACCTGTACTGCATGTCTTTGGACTGTGGGGGAAACCGGAGCACTCGGGGGAAACCCATGCAAAGGCAGGGAGAACATACAAACTCCACACAGAAACACCAAATGAGCCGAGGATCAAACCAGCGACCTTCTTGCTGTGAGGCGACAGCACTACCTACTGCGCCACTGCCTCACCCATATTATTATTATTATTATTATTATTATTATTATTATTATTATTATTATTATTATTATTATTATTATTATTATTATTAAGTAGGATGTTGTTTATTTTTTATATATATATATTTTAGAAAAGTTTTAGAAAACTTCTACAATTTGAGACATGTAAACCACTGCAGAAAGTTTTAACCAGCGGGCCCATGCCATATACAGTCCAGATACTTAATAAATAACCTACTATAAATTAAAATAAATACCGTGTGCTCTTTGTTTTCACAAGCTTTGGAGACGTAACATAAATTTTTAAATAGTAGGTCACCTATAGGGCCTGTGTTCAAAATGATATCATTGTTTTCAAAGTGCACTGCGAAGGGAGCACAATTGTAAACATGAAGATCGCTAAAACTGAACTGTAAAAATAGTTTGAAAGCAAATTACACCTAAGATTGATGACCTTAATGCTTTTTTTATTTTTAATAATTCCAACTTTGAATGTTAGAATGTTCTAAATGATTAGGACATAGGGGGGATAAGTGGGAATAGAACACAGCTAGGAACTATGTTTCTAACTACAGCTCCAGAAGTGTAGTTTCAAGTGCTCAAGTTTGCGACGCAGTTTGTGAATGTTCGTTGGAGCGACGGTTTGGGAAATAGCAAATCAACAAACTAAGTTTTTAACAATGGAACTTGCCATCTTAGTAGGCTAACGATGGTTTTGGGAAACACATCCCAGATTAGTTTTTTTCTTTTCGTGTGATGGGAATTTTGTGACGAGAGTAGCGACTCCTCTATAGGGCAAAAGAGTATTTCTAATATAAGAAGCTCTACCTGTGCCCAGTCCCCATGGAAAATATGCTAAATGGCTGTCGCACACACACACACACACACACACACACACACACACACACACACACACACACACACACACACACACACACACACACACACACACACATACGGCTACCGACACACACAAGGTTTGACTGTGACAGGCTCCTGAATGCCTGCGGTAAAAGACTAAACACTGATGCCACCACACATCAGCAGACCTGCAGTCCAGTTCACCTGCCAGAGCTGTCACACACACACACACACACACACACATACACACACACACACACACACACACACACACACACACACACACACACACACACACACACACACACACACACACACACACACACACACAGGAGTTGTCACACATATGCAAGCACACTCACAGACACACACACACACACAAATCCATGCTTGGGCACACACACACACACACACACACACACACACACACACACACACACACACACACACAAACACATGGACACACTCATAAAATTTCACTCAAATTTCAGCACACACACACACACACACACACACATACACACACACACACACACACACACACAGACACATAGACATACTCACACATTCATAGACACATGCGCAAACATCAGCACACACACATTCACATACACACACACACACACACACACACACACACACACACACACACACACACACAAGTCCACACATTTGCGCGCACACTTACAGACACACACACACAGACATATGCACGCATAGGCACACACACTCGCAGACATCAGAACATGCATATGTCAGCACATGGACACACAAAACCCCACAGATACACACTTTTGCAAACACCACACACACATCTGCGTACACTCACACACACATCAGCACATGCACAAACACAAACATTAGCACAAGGACAAACAACACCCACACACAAACACCCACATACACACACACACATAAACACATCAACGCACAGACATCAGCACACATTCACATCAACGCACACGCACAAACACGCGTTGGGACATGCACACACACACACACACACACACACACACACACACACACACACACACACACACACACACACACACATGATTAGTAGATGATACACGCACACTCTCTCTCTCTCACACACACACACACACACACACACACACACACACACAATAAATGTATGATACTCTCTCCTGCGCAGCTGATTTGCATGTCTGGCAGAGCATCAGTGATTGTGAGTGTGTGCGTCCTGTACTGTATCTCTGACAGTCCTAACATGATGCTCTTTGTCACGTTGATGCTCTCTGTCAGCTTCTAATTGACACTGGCAGAGTAATCTTCAGTCTGAGTCACGGGTTAAAGCTGCACTTCAAAGAAAGCGCTTGTTAGCATTAGCTAAGATGTAATGTAGCTGCAGAGAGCAATTTGTTAGCATTTCTGTTGACGAGATTGG